GGCTTGGTCTAGTTATTCTCCTATATTAAGATGACTCTTCTGAGCAGCCTCTTTCCATTGCTACAATGCAGTCCAGGACAGGAAGCTAAAACTGAAAAGAGATTTACCAAACTGTGCAACAAGTCTTCTCATCTGTATAATGAAATAGGCATTTGGATACTTAATTTAAAATATTTTTTTACCATTTGTATTTATTATATACTTTAATCCTTAAAATAATTCTTTAATGTAGACCTCATCATCTCTCTTTCAGAGGTGCAAAACCTGAGACTCAGAAAGTTAATTAGCTATTATCCTCATGTTTTAACTATTGTCTTTAGTTTTAGGGACAGATAACTTTTACATAATAGTAATCAGTGAAACTTTATTAGTTTGTATTCTATAAACAATGGATGTCAAAAAACAGCTGTATTTTATTTCTATTTTCCTTTCCCCAATCTTTTATTATCATTATTTATTTATTGTCTAAAGTTTTACATATGTTTCCTTTTTCCCTGCTTGACCCTACCCGCCCCAGCCATTCTCACCCTGAGCAAGCTCCCACCACCCCAGTGTCTGTGTCCATTGATTATGTTAATATGCAAGCATACAAGTCCTTTGGTTGCTCTCTAACCACCCCCTTTCTCCTACCATTTGTCTCTGGATCTATTCTTGTTCATCAAATTATGTTGATCATTATATCCCACATATGAGTGAGATCATGTGATATTTATCTTTTTCCTACTGGCTTATTTCACTTAGTATAATGTTTTCCAGTTCCATCCATGCTGTTGCAAATGGTAAAAATTCCTTCTCTTTTATAGCAGCATAGTATTCCATTGTGTAGATGTACCACAGTTTTTTGATCCACTCATCTGCTGATGGACACTTAGGTTGCTTCCAAATCTTAGCTATTGTAAATTGTGCTGCTATGAACATTGGGGTGCATATATTCTTTCTGATTGGTGTTTCTAGTTTCTTGGGACATATTCCTAGAAGTGAGATCACTGGGTCAAATGGAAGTTCCATTTTCATTTTTTGAGAAAAATCCATACTGTTCTCCACAGTGGCTGCACCAGTCTGCATTCCCACCTGCAGTGCATGAGGTTCCTTTTCCCCACATCATTTACAGCACTTGTCGTTTGTTGATTTGTTGATGATAGCCATTCTGATAGGTGTGAGATGGTGCCTCATTGTCGTTTTGATTTGCATCTCTCAGATGATTAGTGACTTTGAGCATGTTTTCATATGTCTCTTGGACTTCTGTATGTGCTCTTTCTAAAAGTGTCTATTTAGGTCCTTTGTCCATTTTTTTGATTTTTATCTTCCTTTTGTTAAATTGTATGAGTTCTCTGTAAATTTTGGAGATTAAACCCTTATCTGAATTAGCATTGGCAAATATGTTCTCCCATGCTATGGGCTTTCTTGTTTTGTTGATGGTTTCTTTTGCTGTGCAGAAGCTTTTTATTTTGATGTAGTGCCATTTGTTTATTTGCTCCTTAGTCTCCATTGCCCTAGGGGCTGTGTCCATAAAGATATTGCTAGGACACACTCATTTATGGATAATAAGGAACATTATAAATTGATGAACAAAAAGATAAATACAGAGACATTAAAAGAGACAGACTGTCAAATTACAGCGGGGAGGGTAGGGAGATATGGGGAGATAAGAGATCAACTGAAGGACTTGTATGCATGCATATAAGTATAACTAATGGACAAAAAATTCTGAGGAGGGAGAGCATGTATGGGAGTGTGTGTGTGGGGGGGGGGCGGGGGATTGGTAAGGTATGTACACATATAATATCTTAATTAAAAATGATAGAAAAAAAGATATTGCTAGGACATATGTCTACTATTTTGCTGCCTGTGGAGTCTTATAGGATTTTTATAGTTTCCTGTCTTACATTTAGGTCCTTTAGCCATTTTGAGTTTGTTTTTGTGTATGGTATAAGTTGATGACCTAGTTTCATTTTTTTTTTTTTTTTTGCATGTATTCGACTAACTTTCCCAGCACCATTGATTGAAGAGACTATCATTGTACACTCTTGCCTCCTTTGTCAAATATTAATTGAGCATAATGGCTTGGGTCGATTTCTGGGTTCTCTGTTCTGTTCGAATGGTCTATATGTCTGTTCTTGGGCCAGTACCAGGAAGTTTTGAGAATAGTGGCTTGGTAATATAGCTTGATATCTGGTATTGTGATCCCTCCAACTTTGTTCTTCTTACTCTAGATTGATATGGCTATCTTTTTTTAAATTTTTTATTCCAGATGAATTTTTGGAGAGTTAATCTAGATCTTTGAAATATGCCATTGGTATTTTAATGGGAATTGGATTGAATCTGTAGATTGCTTGGGTAGTATGGACATTTTATTATGTTGATTCTACCAATCCATGAACACAGTATGTTCTTCCATTGTTTATATCTTCCTCTATATCTTTTTTCAATGTTCTGTAGTTTTCTGAGTACAAGTATTTTACCTCCTTAATTAAGTTTATTCCTAGGTATCTTAATGTTTTTGGTGCAATGGTAAATGGGAATGTTTTTTTCATTTCTCTTTTTGTGAGTTCATTATTGGTGTATAAAAAAGCCATAGATTTATGGGTCTTTTAACTCCTTAATTAAGTTTATTCCTAGGTACCTTAATTTGTCTATTTATGTAGAATTTCCACTTAGCCAGTTTTCCCGTGGTTCTGGATGATATTCGTTTTGTCTTTTAATTGTAGTTTTAATGTGGTTGTGCGCAGCAGTATTTTCCGGTGTATAAGACGACTTTTGAAACGAAGAAAAGTCAACCGAAAATTGGGGGCAAAAGACCAAAATTGCACAAAAATTACCTGCAGATCTTGACTGCAAAGTAAGTCTTTTCTTTGAAGTGGGGGGTAGTCTTATACAGCGAATATAGGCCTAAACCTATGTTTTAATTGTAAAATTAGGGGGTCGTCTTATACACCAGAAAATATGGTACCTATGCCGCCATCTTGGTTTTTTTAAAGGAAGGTTTTTGAAAACAGGTATGTCCTGCTTTTGAAACAGGAAAATTGAACTGGAACATGTGCTGTTCTTTTAGGCAGGATGCAAAGGTGGCTTCCAGGTTCTCGTCCAGCTGGGTTGGAAGAATGAAACCACAGACAAAAGGTGGTATAGGAAAAGGTGGAAATTTATTGAGATACAAGCACAGCCATGCAGTCTCTCAGGTGGGGGTGGGGGTGGGGGTGAAGAGTCCCTTTTTCCTAAGGTTTATAAAAGCTGCAGCTTTTTGTGTCTTCATCTCCCCTCTTTTTTTTTTTATAATATATTTTATTGATTTTTTACAGAGAGGAAGGGAGAGAGATAGAGAGCTAGAAACGTTGATGAGAAACATCGACCAGCTGCCTCTTGCACACCCCCTACCGAGGATGTGCCCGCAACCAAGGTACATGCCCTTGACCGGAATTGAACCCGGGACCTTTCAGTCTGCAGACTGACTCTCTACTACTGAACCCAACCTATTTCGGCATTCATCTCCCCTCTTATTGGTCACTATAGCAGCTTCAGAGCTCAAACCTCATGTGGAGGGGTTCCCCTCTTCTTCTCCCTTTTGTTTTTCTATTCCCTTTGGCCTTTCTCTTCCCTCTCTGAATGAGTGGATTCCTTTCCTTTATTCATTGAATGTATACCTTTGGTGCAGCTCCCAGTCTTCTATGGATGTATGCCTTCTATGGATGTATACATTCACAGAATCAGCTGCCTGATTCTGTGAATGTATACCTTTGGGAAGCTCCCATCTTTGCAGCCCTGTGGTTCTCCCCATAGACCCCGCAATTCCTAAAACTTCCTAAATCTGCCTATTTTACCCCTAGCAAACTCCTTTTACTTTCAGCTACAGTTTGAGTTTCTCTGGATAAAAGCTTTGTCTTATTTCCTTTTGTATCCCCAGTACTTGGCTGGAGGCTTGACATACAATAGGTGCCCTGTAAATGCTTATTGGATACATAATGTAAGCTTCTTCTTACATGATTACAGGTAAAATGGACTTAAGGATATTGAACTTTCCCTTTTCTGTTGTTGCTCTGCAGAATCCTTCAAGGCAATGGTGGGGAGGAATTGGGGGAGGAAATTTTACACTTAAAGGACAAATCAGTGTTTTCCTATCTGCTCCTTATTGGTCTTGTGTGTTAGAGTTAGGTTGGTCCTTCCCACTGATATTCAGAGCATTGAGTCAAGGGTGAGTGAGAGGGTGCCTGTGGCCCTAGCTTGGATCAGTGCTCAAGAATAGGAGGATGAGTTTAACATCTCTTGTTTACTTTTGCCTCTTTTGTCTCTTCCAGGTGTGAAGTCCACCTAAGATACTAGGAAAGACTAGAGATATGATTTAAGAAAAGAAGTTTGTAAAGTATCCTGATGCCACTTATCCCTAAATATTCTCTATATTTAGCACAAGGCAGGAAGGAAGTAGTCAATGGGCTCGAAGGATCAGGAGAGGGAAAGTAGTCAATGGGTTCGAAGGATCAGGGGAGGGAAAGAGTTGCAGAAAAGTGAAGCCCCTAGAAAAATGTGTAGGTGAAAATCATCTACTGCATAAAATAACACATTCATACAAAATGAATTTGAGAATTATTTTATTAAGAAATGTATCATGTCAATAACAAAATAATATGTACATTTAAAAAAGGGCTTACTGTTCACTTTGACCGATATCACCCCAATAAATTTAATAAAAAAATAAAAAGTGCTTATACAATAAATTAAAAATGTATTCATAAGTTTAAAAATATATATTATTTTAACTTTAACAAATGCACTTCTTCAAGATCTGCTTGCATATACCACTCTTATCTGTTGCATAATTTAAAAAATGTAACTTAAAATATTTTCACAATATTAATATGAAATTCTTTCAAATTGCTCCACTATATGTACAGCTTTTTTGTGTGTACCATTTTGCTTCTACGTATTTCCTTCTTTTGTAAATTTTTAGTATGAAAGAAATGCCTGCCTTTTAAACAAAGGTTCATATGCTTTTGAGTTCAATTTTCTTTTCTTTTAGAAGAGAAATAGCTCTCCTCCTACTATACTTTTAGATTCTTCCCCTGAATAAGGCCTATGTAATTCCAGCTGAGAATTACTGTCACAAAGCCAGTGGTTCAGACATCAATGCTACTGAAGTGTCCCTGACATTTGAGGGGTAGTATCTCCCCCCACATTATAAATCAATATTAAACAATAAAAGTTTCAAAAAATAAGTTAAGAAACCCTTCTTTAATTAAAAAAAAAAACTAGTAGTGATCTTTTAAATGTCACAGAATTAGCCTTCCATCTACCTAATAAGGATGATCTATTTTGTTGCTGTGAAATACGACTTCAATGAAGGTTCACTTTTGTCTCTATTAAAGACGCATGAATCGACCCCACAATCCTATTAAGTTTGAGACTATTTTCTGGCATCCATTTATTGTGTCTCCTCTTTTCTTCCTTTTCTTCGTTGCCTGGGAATTATTTTTCTGTGGAATAAGAGAATCAGTAATTAAAATTAATTGTCACTATCTTTAATGGCAGATTACACTGTCTTCTCTATGTAAGCCTATTTCTCAATGTATTCCCCTAACATCTGCTTACTGTCTGGGCCTGTGTGCTTTATACAGAGGAATGCCCTCCCATTTTCCATCCTCTTACTCATGCTTCAAGGCCAAGCACCACCTCCTTTACAAGGCTTCTGCTAACTGCTCAGACCTTTCTGTTGGAAACTCTTCTAGTGTTTCACAGTGTGTTTAATTTATCTTGGCTCTCACTTAAATGCTTTTTTAAAATTTTATAATTGCATCATAGGTATTCCCCATAGTGTTGAGCAGGATGTTTTATATATAGAACACACTGAATACTTGTTGAATGACTAAATAAGTGAATAAGTTGATGACTACATGATCTCCTTGACAAGATTGTAAGTTCCTCTAAAATAGGACACATCTACATTTTCTTTACAGATAGAATTCAGGATTCCCCTGCCTTCAGTCCCTTCTACCATGGAGTTGTGCCACAGACACCTGAAGGTTTTTCTGAAGAAGAGACTAAACTTAAAGAAAAAAGATTGCAATGATATTTTGGTGCTTTCCTCTATCTAAATTACTCTTGTGTAGTGATGGGCTGGATCTCCTAGAAACACAATATTTGAGTCAAGAAAGGTTACCAGGTTATAAGCAAAAATCTTACTATCTAAAATTTGCTAAATCATGTCAGTATTATTGGTCTTAGGCTCTTTCTTCAGGATTGGGAGGGGGCTTAAATAAAGAGGGGGGAAAGAGGTCAATCAAAGAACTTATATGCAAAACCCATGGACACAAACAATAGTGGGGTAAGGGCCTGGGGAGGGGACAGGGGTAAGAAGAAGGTAGTCAGTGGGGGAAGAAAGGGAGATATCTGTAATACTTTCAACAATAAAGATAAAATTTTACTTCAGACTCTCCCTTTCTTACTGTCCAGAACTTGATCTAGCCTGTTCTTTATGCTCTTCTTGTATGGATAAACTTCACTGTGGCCATCTGTGTAGGTTGACTAAAGTATCCTTGATAGAAGACATAAAACCAAACCAGTTTCACATGTAGCCAGAATCACCCTATGGCTTCAATCTCCAATCCCTAAAAAAGTGACAGCCTTGGCCACACAGACTCCTCAGTCTCCTGTGCAGACTGATAAGAGTCCGTTGGTTAGTAGATAGCAATCACACATATCTGCACTTGTTTCTCTTTGTCTTTTTAAAATTTGTCAACCAGAAGATAAATTCTCTGCTTCACTTACATGATGAAATACTTACTGAGTTCTAGTTACATGCCAGGCACCGTTCCAAGTGCTTTGACTAATATTGACTCACTCAATCCTTACAAACACTCTAGGTGGGACTGTTATTATGGTCCTCATTTTGCAGAAGAAATTGAGCACACTGAGGCTAAGTAATTTACCCAAAGTTTTCACTGTTCGAGATTATGAGGCTAGGATTCAGTCAGGCAAGACTGTCTCCAGACTTCCTGCTCCTAACTCTGCACTACCGGTTCCATATTTAAAGTTATGCGTTCATTCAAAATGTATATAACTGCACATGCAAAAGCCACTATGTAAAGAGGCAGCAATACCATCCATACAAGCAATTAAGCAAACTTAGGGAAAAGATTTGATGTATGACATCCTTTTAAGAAAGAACGCACAATTATTAAGCTATAAGCCCAAGGAAGGCTGCTCAAATTGTAGAATGGGCAAACACCCCATAAGAAACCCCTCCATACACAGGGACTGTGATTTTGAAGGTCTAGGTGGGAATTGGCATTTCGGCAAATAACCTCCCATGCTCAGGCAGCCAGGTGACATTCTGATGCAGGAGGCTCACCCCTTCGCCTAAGGTTTAGAACCATAATTCAGTTAAAAGAATCAGAACCCCGGAAATTAAGTGGGTTTCGGTCGAGGTTATCTGTCCACCTCGGACTACCTGACAATCTCCAGCTCCGGCTCCCTTGCTCTCCAAAAGATAGAACCTGAACAAAAACCTCAGACTTCTGCACTGCACGAACAGCCCCTCTTGAATTCGAGGTTTATCGCCAAGATGTATAAAAAAGCGAGAGTGCTTCTTAAAATTGCACTTACCTGCGTTGGGAAGTAGCCTGGGCAATAGCTTGTGAGCGTAGCTTCCGTTCTAGCTGTCAATCCCGCGGGCAGTGACTTGCAGCCGGGGGCGGGATGGAGGGTGAGGCGCTCGATCTTGGCGAGGCAGTCCGGCTGCTCCCAGCGGCGGAGACGACGGGTCGGAGAAAAGGAGAACATGCCACGGGGTGGGGGGTAGGGGTATGAAAAACAAAGAAACAGAGTCGATAAGCAAGGAGCAGAAGGAGCAGCGGGGAGGTGGGAAGGAACCGGGGACGCAGCCCAGGGGACTCGGGTGGGGAGCGGGCTGAGGACCCCGCGGACGGGGGCGCAGAAGGGGCCTCGGAGAGGAGCAGCCGGCGAGGGACAGAGAGGAGGACTGGGTCCGAGTGCAGCGCCTGGGACTGCCGGGCGCCGCCCCGCCCCCGGGGGGAGGGGGAAGGGTGTGCCCTGATTTCAGTTTCCTATTTGCCTTCCCTTCCGTGGGGGTGGGGGTGGGGGACCGGGAGGCTCTTCCGGAATCCCGCTGGGTTTCGAGAGAACTTCCTCGCCCTGAATTGGGACAGAAGTGGTGTCCCCAGCTGGGCACCAGCCCAGAAGTCCCGGCGGCCCCGGTGTCCTTGCCGGGTCGGCATCGCCTGGGAGCCCGGAGTCCCCCCTCCGGCCGGGGAACCCTCCCCGGGATGCCTGGCTGGAGCCTCGCTGGGGAGAGCCGGGCGCACTGCTCAGCTACTCACCTGGTCTTCGCAGCTGAGGGTGGCATCGCAGTGGGCACACTGGAAGAAAAGGGGGGGAAAGCATAGGACCAGAGGGTAAAGACGTGTTCACAGGAGAAAGCCCACCACCCCACTGTTGCTCCCAGGGATTCAAGATGCCCCGAAAGCAGTTTCTACTTCCGCACTTGTTTTCCATGCATCTGTTCTTGTCATCGACAACGTAGTGAAACGTTAGGAATCTTCAGAGCTGAAGAGATTCTGCTATCTGAACCAGTATCCAATGGATCCTGGTCCTGGAGGGGGACTCTTCCTCCCCCCACCACAGTAGGCACACCTGTGTACACAGTAGGGCTGCGCCTGAGAACCATATGCCTCTTTCCAGTGCCCACGTCTGTCCCAGAGCGAGCCATTCACGCATTTCATACACTCATGATCTATCCAGAAATTAGAATAATGAAGAGAACGGGCTACTCCTGAGTTCTAAACAATCCGAAGCCCATCTCATCCCATCACAGCATCCCAAGGCACCTAGAACACCAGACAGACCTGAAGGGCAGCCTCCCTGGCTAGGATTCAGCTCACAAGAATTCCCTCTTACTCCTCTCTTTTTCGCAAGCCTTCTCTTTCTCAAGCCTTTTTTTTTTTTTTTTTTAAATTTTTTCTGCACCTGTGGAGCAGCACTTTAGCCCAGTATAGACATTCTTGATGGATCACGTGTTACCTATTCCTACCGGCTCCTCCCCAGCATCTGCACACCTAAAGTGTGCCACCTAAAGTGTTCTAGGTTGTCATTTTAGAAGCAGGTATAGTTCAATACCACTTGCAAAATTTTGACACAATGCTGGGTCATGATCAGTTCCCAATATTGTTTTTCTTTTTTTGAAAGTAAAACTGTGGTGTGTGTGTGTGTGTGTGTGTGTGTGTGTGTGTGTACCCTTCTGATGAAAATACATTGCTTTTTAAAAGGTTTTTGTTTTGTTTTTTCACTTACCCTGGTCAGGTCTTTAGAAATGATTTGCCGGTAATCCATTCTAATCTTCTCAAAGTCACAATCAGTGAAGTTGCTGGTTAGCACCAACCCTACCAGTTGCAAAACGAAGATCTTCCTGAAAGAAACTGACAGAACAAATAATAAGGCATCAGGCAATGTAGTTGAAAACTCAGTTCCACATTAAACTCTTTCCACCCACACTAAATTGCCTCTGGATCTACAAGGCCAGCCTTAGGGGCAAGTGCCCAGGCACTGACTACTCTGCCTCTCATCCCCAGTGTACAGAAGCCCGTATTCACCCATGCTGTTGCCTTAGGTTGGAGTCTCCCTGATGCTCCAGAGCCTTTTGGCTCCACATATATAATACCTAAACGCCTACGGGCCCTTTTCTCCTAGGCCAATGATTTTCCTTGATGTCATTTGCTTCCTTCATAGAATTCTGAATTGATGACATGAAAGAAAAAAAAATAGGACTAGCCAGATCTATGGAATTTTAACCTTAGTAAAATAAGCAGGAATTTCCCTCTCCTCCTTTGATCTTTGCCCTAAGTCCTTGATATGTGCCTGTCTGTGCTTTAAGAAGGAGATACCCACACCTTTCTCCTACAGGGCCATTTCCAACAAGCCCCTTACTTGATGGAATGAATATATATATATATATATATATATATATATATATATCCCCCCAAACAGCATCCACTCTGAGAATTAAGTTCATGCCATACACACTGAGCATTTCCTTTGGCCAATTTCAACTGTTGCTTTTCCCTCTCCTGTGGCCACTGAGAAAACTCATGTGCTCACTTAATGGGATGCTTTAAAGTGTGGGTACAACCTGAGGCTTGGGCTGAGTTTCCATGTGAATGTATGACATGTACAATAGTGACCAGAATTTTATAGGCAGGAACGAGAAAATGCTGAAATGAGCTGGGGGGGAAAGTCTGATGGTCAAAGCACCCTCAAAAACGCCAGGCTTTGGGGGAGAGGGGGCACGTCTCAGGGGCTATGGTCTCCTCTAGTACTTCCACAGGCGTCAAGAACTCCTAAATCTTCTAACTCCAGCGTCCATCCACCTTCACAGTCTCATCCCTGAGGCCAGACGTAAGAGCTAGGAGGACGCCAGACTCAGGCAGTGGGACCAGACGGGCGCAGCGGCGGCGCGAAGGTGCTGTCCAGCGCGCCGCGATGATCCCAGAGGCTGCGCTATTGCTAATCTGGCGCCCCACGCAGCAAGCCCGGACAGCTTTGCATGCCTCGGGGTCCACGCTGGGACCTGAGCACCCTCACCTGTGTTAGGAACGCGGGAAACCACGAGGTGGAGGTCACGTATGGGAACTGGCAACCCCTTGTGAACCCGGAGTTTAAATTCAGGGAAGTGAGGGAGGGAGCGTGCCAAAGAGGATGCCTAGCTGCCTGTGGCTCTGGCAACAGCCAGCGGAGTGTTAAAAGGACGGGAGCCCGCCTCTCAGCAGGCTGCTACAGGACTAATCCCGCTCTCCTGGGCTTGACCCCTGGCCGCCCCGGCTCTCCTGACGCCCAGTTCTCCCCGCTCCCTTCTCCCTCCACCCTCCTCCTCCCCTTTTTCCTGTGGGAGCCTGAAGAGCCCTGGTCCTTGGGAAGTTCCTAGTAGTCATCACCCGAGCCCCCAAGGCAGGGTGACCCGCGTGGGTCCTAGCAAATGTCACGGGCCACAAGGCACCACTTGGGCACAAGAGGAGGGGTGGGCAAGAGCGGAGGGGGAGAAAGCACAGTCTCCGTGTCGGGGGTTGGGACTGGAGCCAGAAGTGAATTTTTTTTCCATAGAAGGCGCTCCGGCAGCCAGCTGTACCAATACAGCTGGACCCGGTTCTCTGGCGAAGTCCAGAGGATAAAGGCTGTGGCTCTGACAGCAGCGTGGGAAAGCCTCTGATTCACCCACCGCTGACTTCGAAGGTGGGCTTTCCTGGCCTCCTGGAAGTCTAGAGTTGAATGTCAGGCAGCATCCTTTGGTAAAGAAGGCTCCCCCCCCCCCCCGCCCCCGCACCTCCCACCCCCATAGCCAGTTTTTCAGGGTATCTTGGGATTCATCTGTGGAGACATTAGGGGTGGTCCTGGTGGGCAGCTGGACATTGGACAGGAGATGAAGACACAGATCTCCTCCCCAGGTGAAGATATGCCAGCGGGGCAGTAACAGAAGAAAGGCATTCTTGGCTGAGGTTCTGTTTCCATTTTTTTTTTTTTTCTAGGGTGGAACCCAGCTGCCTCCTTTCCTTTACTTCTCCCTTTAAAACATTACGTCCCTGGCAACTCTGAGATGAGGCAGATCAGGGTGCCTCCTCCTCCTCAGGCATTCTAGATGATGGCGCTTAGACTGTTAGACGCACTGCTAAGCATTTGTCTCCGGGACCCCCTATTTCTTTATCTGTAACTGTGTAACCTCTTACTTAAATCACTCCAATTATACCACATTTCTGCTGAAAAACTCTTGGTAGACTCCCAGTTGCCTTCATCTCTGCCCTCTTGGCTCTATGCCAAGCATGTCAGGCTCGCAGGTGGCATGGAATCCACAACGAATATTTTTGCTTTCATAAAAATTTTATAAATTAATTTTTACAATATCTAGTTATACATAATTATTAATAACAAACTACAGCGTTCGCTAACGACTGATTAGTGTCGCATCCATTTCCCTTACCCATCTCACACTCACCATTTCTCTCCACTAATACTAGCAGCAAATATTTTAGCAGCCGATTGCCAGGTCATTAGTTTGGACTGACTTGTTTGGTGTACACAACAGGAAATATTTCACTTTCAGAGAACAAGAAAAATAGGTTATTTGGGTTATATTTATTAATTTGTGCAGTTATTCAGTGTCTGGTAAGTTAACGTTCAAGAAAAAATGTTAGTTTTTATTAAAATGTCCCATTCTTTTATGTTAATGATTACTCATTTATTTCAGCCCTTTGTATTCAGCATGTCTCTATCGAAATAAAACTTCGTTTCTATGAAAATTTAAGCTTTTGTTCTTTTGTGGCCCACATAAACTTAAACCTTATTGATTTGGCCTGTGTTAGCCTTTGAGTTTGACATGCTTGTTCTATGCTGTCTTTCTACCCTTATCTCCAAATTGTATCTAAAGTAAACGTGCTCTAAATGTGCCCTCATCTTTGTTCTTTCACCCTCAGATTTTAACTTTCTCCTGTTATTCCATGCTTGTTTCACTGGCCATCTACTCAAAAGAGATCTCCTACCTGGCTGGGACCTCATTTTCCTTTAAGCCATATTTATCTTGGACTTCCCTCTTACGACCTCAATTCATTATGTGATATTTCAAAAATACTTTCTACTTTATTTATTTATTAGACTGTGAGTTTCCTTAGACGCAAACAGTGTTTTGTATTTAGGAATTTGTCCAATATTTATTTACTTTTTCCAAAGACATTTGAAGTGACAAGCAATAATTTCATTGGTGCAAGAAGGTAAAAAAAAACAGTCAAGATCAGGCAAAATACAGGACAAAGAATAAAGAAGGTGAGGCTCAGTTATAAGGAATGTCTTAGGAAAACATTATGAAGAACTGGAGAATTAAGACAAGCTCAAAAGTGAATTCTGATCTTCCAGTCATTGCAAAGAAGAACATAAGATGGGCTCTACAAGTTTATTAAGGAAACCATTTTTTTCTTCTTCTTAGGACTGTGGTCATCATCATGGCCAC